ATAGTGAAATTAAAGGTTTTTTGGCACAACCTATGCATTGAGTTTTTGTTATAAAATATTGTATCCTTCTCAAAACTAGTTTATCAGAATATGAATGATTTCATGATGATAGTTTCCAGATTTGATAAAAAAGTCACTGCCTACTAAAATCCTCAGTTCCTTTACCTTGATAGCCAAAATCTCATCAACACATTGCCAACAGGAGTGATTAGCAAATTATTGATACAGACAAGAGGGCCTATTCCCACATACATTCTCCTCAATCCTGTTAGCTTACTATGGTCATAGCATTTCAAACATGGTGCATATGCCACAAGTTTTCCATTTCCCTGACTAATTACTTTGTAATAGTGTTTATATGTTGAGGAAATGGTTGGGTTGAAATATAATACAAAGACTTGCCAGTAGATAGTTTTATTACGGAGACTTGCCAGTAGATAGTTTTATTACAGTTTTTATTCAGTGTAACGTAGGGTTGGAAAATAAACTAATTAGAGCTCTGCTTTTAGGCTTGGCTAAATCTATATATTATATTGTTTCACCAATCTCTCACCTGGTTTTTTCCAACAACTTTTTCAACAGCCTTTTCAACACAAAACTACTCATTCTTTATCTTTGCACTAAAATCCAGTTTCCAAAATAAAAAGGGTTTCACCTATCTTTCACCTAGATTTTTTCAAGAACTTCTACCTTTTGTACAGTTTCAATTTACTATAATATTTTAACAGCAGCGTTAAATTATCATTTCATGTCATAATGATTTAGACTGGATGTCAAATCCTTTCGAAGTTAAGTAGGACTTTCAAGGTTTCAGATATACTTTTACTTTAGTCGCTTTTAACTTTTGGACTCTTCTTAAATAGGTCGTTGGTTTTAGCGAGATTTCTGGGATGTAGGTTTTGTTTCAAGATCCAAGTCTCTCTGCGATTTATCCTGTATGAATTTTCTTCCTTTATCTCCTACTGCAAATTTCCCCACAATGTTAGCAGCCTCAGAATTTTAATTAGAGGAAGCTGGAGCTCCTTCCCTTACTGTAGCACTGAAAGATAGTTTTGACAGTCGCTGACTCATCGATAATTCAGGAAGCAATATTTATTACTATAGCATTCGGGTTCTCGCCTCTAGTCAGATATGCTAGAAATTTCTACGTTCTCACGGCGGGAATATCGTTGCAGGCTATACAAGCAGGTTTCACTGGATTTAAATTTGTTAACCAGCCATGCATTTTCCGCAGCCTCAAGTTTTGAACTTTTTCTTCGAGGCTATTAAGTCTCCCCGGCAGGCTTTTGAAGTTGTCATTATTCATCTTCACGAGATCGTTCAGTCTCATTTGGATCGGTCTCGATTTGTTATTGAAGAGAGATTCTAGCTGACTCCTCGATTGGCTTACATATGTTCATAAAGCAAGAACAAAGGGGAAGAAACGAAACGAAAGCAAGACCAAAAAAGCATCACACGATAGAAACTGTCAATATCTTCATCTAAAAGGGTATTCACGCGGAGCCAAAAATTTGCACTTTACCTTCTTTACTGACCGCAGCTTCCTACATGTAGTAATCATGCAGTGCTTTTGCATTAAACTATCGCATTTTGCTGAGCAAGTTATGCCATTAGAGTTAGTTTGAGAAGAGTCTGAGTGGTTTTCGAAAGGAACTCGACTCATCTGGTCTCGTTTGCATGAGCAATGATTAGGAGTGAACTGAGTTTATTATGGTTACGCTTCAGGGAACCTTTCGTTAACTCCACTGCGTTAAGACCATTTAGCAAGCGGCTTCGATCGGAAGGCAAAATTAATGGTTCATATACTTGTAAAGAGCTTTCCATTTCAATTTTTCATCACAAATGTTTTTTCTTTACGCAGTAAAAGAGACAAAGGTAACATATCCTAATCAAGGGGATTAGGTAAAGTTCAATTTTTGTCTTATCTTTGAATAGTTTTCTTAGAAGCATATTGTTTACAAACATCACCTTGAATTTCTCAGAATTGCTACTTATGTATGCACCGAACAAATATGTTTTTGCTCATTATTATGTATAGGGCATAGGTAAGTTTCTTAGAAATATCGGAAAAATTTTAAGTGCTTCATGTTGACGAGTGTTTTTAAATATTTTTTAAAAAATATGATAAACAAGGTCCTGTTCGGACAAGTTTAAGAAACAGAGGCTTCAATTTTCTCCTGAGTCGTTGAATGGTTACGCGGTTGAGAGAGGAGATCCGTCTTCCAGGAGAGGGATGGTCAGAATGGGAGAAGGCTATGGTCCCCCAAGATGACCAGAGCAGCAATCTTGAAAAACGTGGAGAGAATCATGTTGGTTCCTTTTGCTCGAGCATACGATCCGCATTCCCTGGAAAGGCACAGTGTTGTGGAATTTATGAGTGGCAAGCCAAAGGTACCAAGTACGGACAACCTAATCACGTTGTTTATGTAGGATGTACTTGCAGAGGTAACGAGAGATCCTTAGGAGAGGAAGTTCTTGAATACTGCAAAAACGGATTGCACAAAGGCAGTCTCATTAATAGTGCGTTGGCCAGAGGCTATGAGTTATGGGTTCGCGTCAAGACCGCAGAATGTAACGAGCCTAGGAAATATGCAGAAGAGATGCAAAACGAACTTCTGGCTCTGTATAATTATGCTTGGAACTCTAGAAACAACGCCATACGTGATTTACTGCGGCCGTAAACAATTAGCGAGGGAATTCAGAGAAAATTGGTTAGGTGAAAAAGTTGCCATGTACCTGCGTGATATGAAAAGTTTTTTTAGTTTCTGGTTTGCCCCGAATTTTCGCATTTCGTTTTCTAGGAATGACTTCGAAATGGCGGATTTCGTTATTGAAGGACATGTTTGTGAATGCATGTTAGTCTATTCATATTTCCATGACAACATTTGGTAATTACAAGAAATGTATTAAAGTAAATGGTTTGAACCCAAGCCTATTACTACTTCACAAGCCTATTACTACTTTACGACATTTACTGACCAACGTTAAAGACAAAGACGAACCCAACAACAGACAGGGAGCGATTTATAAGATCGAATGCTCCGACTGCCAGGCCTCCTACATTGGTGAGACTGGTAGAAACCTTACCACGCGACTAACTGAACACAAACGAGCAACTAGAAATGGCGATGTAAACAATCACATTTCTGAACATCACGTACCGACAAACTGATCACAGAATCGACTGGGACTCTGCTAAATGCTTAACTTGCAGTACAAACTATTTTCAACGACTGACTTTGGAAAGCTGGTTTACCAACTTAGAACAGACGGCTCTTAACAGATGTCAACAACTACCGGCACCTTACAAACGACTCATTAACGACGTGAACAAACCGACAAACAGACCGACCAACAACAGACGGATCTAAACCGACCAAGGACTGTTAACAAACTCTACGCGAGTCTTCCAGCCAATCACATCTCGGCTAAACAGACCAATCACGTTCAACAGACCAGACTTTATAACATCATCGACTGACAATCACTCTCTACTTGACTCTGAAGATGACTTCCGCACAGGTTGTCGAAACGTCAGTTACCAACAACAGTTCTTTTCAGAACTACACTCAACCGGACGATCACACTATACGAACTAAGAAATGTATTACAGCAAATTAGAGGATGAATTTTTCTTCTGGGAAAACTGAAATATAATTTCAATAACACCTCGTGTATGTCGCAAATAAATCGCACGCCATGACTAAGAAATGCTTGTTTCCCTAAACGTAATCGGCGATAATGTTCGACATCGTGAGATTACACAGAAAGGGGTGTTCAATCAACTCAACTATACTTAAACCTTTGCAAAATCGCGAGAGATCTGCATTTACACCACAATCTCGCAGTCGTTTAAATGCTGAAAATTCGACTCAGAAGTAGACCTCTCCCGGCTCCTAAATATATCCATATATATCTCTGTTCATAGTTTATTGTGTGGTCCGTCGCCATGTTGATGTTCCAAGCAAATCCTGTGGGATTTGAACGCTTTTGTTATGTAAACAATTTCTTTTGTCCCTCTAAATTTGCATACCCATTGACCACGTGAGTAAACTGCACTCCACAGTGGTTGCATCGGTCACGATAAAACGCAAACCGCAGACCATGCAGACTGTGCAGACTGTGCAATTTTTTTTTTTGCTCTTCTTTTAAACTGTGACTTACATATGTTTAAGGTGTGAACACCTTTTCCTTACTCTTGATTACGTTGGAACTTTTTCCAATTATAGGAAACCACATAACGAAATTTTACGAGATTATTTCGGAGCCCACGTTACCTAGCAAAACAAAATCGCACGCTCAAGTTTTTCGAGCACATGGAGATTAGCCCAACGCGCCAAGATGATTGCGGATGTAATAGTCGAAATTCTCCAGCGAAATAAGCGCAGTCTGCACGTTCTGTAGTCTGCGTTTTAGCATGACCGGGTTGTTGGATGCGTGTGAAAGCCGTTAATACGATTTGAAATGGATTTTCAGGAAATGGATTCTGGACTCACTTTTTAGCGGGATTCTGGATTCCAATGCACAGTATTCCGGATTCCACGAGCAAAAATTTCCTGGATTCCGGAATCTGGATTACCTTACATGGGGCGATAGATCGTTTTAGATTTCAATTTCTTTTGCTTATGTCTCTTTTCCCGTTGAAACAATATGCGCTCTCAGATTAAATAATCCAGCCAAGTGATCTGCCTCCTGCCAGTTAGGATTTTCAATCTCTTTATGTTCGTTATGTAACATTGACTCATAAAAGCTCCTGGGAATGAGCCAACAAAGTATGTGTATGTAAAAATGAGAAATTTTCTCGGTAACTTCTTCGGATTTGACGAAAAAAGGGAGAACGATAACCATAATAGTCAGTGTGATTTTCATGGATACTGGAAATGCCTAAGATTCTGTTCTAACGACTGATATAGAATCGTCGCAGTTCTTGACACCTGTCAGTGTTCGGACGCTTTTCTTTGTCCCACAGAATACTTTTAATAATTGGTCGTTTCCAAGAAACCAAATACTATTCGATGAAAAACTTATCAAAGGAAAAGAAAAGCCAAAATTAAAAAAAGCAAAACGCAATCACTGCGATTTTCCTTTAGGACATCACTTTCCATTACAATATCACTAAATACGACTCTACTGATGTTATGATTGCCGTTGAAACGGACTTAACCCCAGCAAAATCAACAGGTCGTATTTCAAAACACATTACAGCATTCATAGACAACTTTAGTTTGTACAATAGAAAATTAAATGCTACGCCATGAGGCTATAAGTTTACCACAAATGCTATTAAAAGAGAAAATAAATAAATTTACTGAAGAGAGGGAAAAAATATTTGGGTGCAATTACTACAATTTATATTTGATATTTGTATCGAAATCGATTCCCTGAGTTTTACGTCAAGAGTAATACTAAACAGTAGAGGATATAATTCTTTCCACACGGTATTATCTGTCAGAAGGATCTTCGTCTACGCGGAACTCGTATATTTTCTGTTAACCGAAAGTCTTGTTTAAACACTGTCAGTATGTCTTTATCGCCTCGAAAAAGCTTCTGCCAAAAAAACTGAAGAAAGCTTAGATACAGGGAAGCATTTATAATCATTAACATGAGGTCTACTATGGTCATTGGCTTTGTTATACCATGCTCCACTGTGTAAAACTTGAAGGCGACCTGACTTGTAACGACTAAAAACTTGCAAAGATTGTCCAAGACAAAAACAGACAGAGTTAAACAATAGGCACCTCTGGAAATAGCTCGAAAGCCTTTTTCCTCTGAAGGCGGAAATGTAAAATTCAATTGAAATAACAAATACAATGTCCACAGTTTGGAAACCACCACTAAACATTCGACGTGAATCCTCGCGTTTCTATTGTTGACCATGATTAATACATCATAAAGGACAACGGAACCTGCAGTTGTGTTGAGAGACCAGAAGTAGGGCTTTTTGATGATACTCCAGAAGATTTTTTCGTTCCTTGCTGGCCTTAACCTTGGTAACATCTTTGTGTGGAGCAAACAAAACCACACGGTGGATGTTATGATCGAGCACACGAGCCATATCGTCTTCCAGCAGTACGGGTCGCAGTGAGATATAATGTAAACTGTAAATCCTTCGCAGTCCACACTCGTTGAGTCATGGTACAACGTGCAATCAACCTCGAATATTGAAAACATTACCAGTGTAAATAATCTAAACAGCTGGAAAACAATGCAAAACTGCGGAAAATATGCGGATGCCAGTCTGAAGAATCTGCTTTGACGCTAGAAAGGGAATGGTCAGAAAAGTGTAAAAGACATCAATCGTTTACATACACAGTAAATGGTTTTGAACCCGGGTGTAACATGTAATAGTGTAGTTTGATCGTCCGGGTGAGTGTAGTCCTGAGAAGGACTGTTGTCGGTAGTGGCGATTAACATTACAAACGAACCGAACAGAACGACCTAACTTCACTAACGGATCCAAACGGACCAATCACGACTGATCTACGCCACTTGAGTCTTACAGCCAATAACTTCACGGCAAAACTGACCAATCAGTGTACACAAACCGGAGTTAGAACATTCGACTGACAACAACCTTTCACTTGACTCTGATGATGACTTCCGTTCAGGTGTCGAAACGTCAGTCACCACTACCGACAACAGTCCTTCTCAGGACTACACTCACCCGGACGATCAAACTACACTATTACATACTTTACTTTGTTGGGCATTCGTTTTTTCTGTATTTAAAAAATAGGGAAGCCTCGACTGTGCTCTTTTCGGTTGTAAAACATGCTAGAGGCGGCTAAAGAAGATTTTGTTTTGTAGTAATCTACCGCGTCTTGTTGACGAATAATTAGCCGACTGCTTATAGTCTTTGCGCACTTGGAGCATTACATTGTTTTCTATATAGGGCGTTAGACAATGGAAACCATGCGGTAATATTTATTTTTAATAACAGTTGCTTCCTTTACAAGTGATATTGTGAGAAAAGCTTACATGTTGATTAGCTTTAGAAGTCAAAAATTATACGTGCGAATGCATATTAAACCATATTACGGCCTTACACCTATAGCAGTGTTTTCGTGTAATAAGACAGTCACAGGCAGCTCACCGAGCTTTCAGGGAGAGATCATTGCCTTTTACTACATTTTATACAAGTCAATTTTGAATGTGATGAATTCATCATGTATATAGGTTTTCAGAATCTATCGGCTTTTTCTTTGGAAAAATATTGTGGAATTTTAGACAATAAATCAGCCATCTTTGCGTGACCAAAATTTCTCTAGACACAAGACTTGTCTGGTTTCTATTTCTTAAAGCGCTCTTGCTGGCAGAGCTCGACTGTTGACCCAAAAATCGACCAAAATATCGACCAAAATATCGACCAAAATATCGACATCGTTATAATTCCATACTTCTATACTTCTCCATCAAGGGAAGGAGACATAAATATTTTAAATCGGACGATATCAACTTTCCGAGTCAATGGTTAACTGGAATGTGCTTACAAATCGGTTTAGGTCACGCTATAATATGCAAAAGACCGATCGAGTGACTCTTTAGTCAGCCCCTGGCAGAGTTAGAAGCAAAGTGAGAACTCAAGAACTGCTAAAATGAACTTTCGATCCAAGCTCTCTAGTCGCACTCTATAGGTAACATTGAATTTGAAAATTTCTTTGGAATACGAACGTAGTTAGACAATGTTTTGCCTACCGAAGCAAATCTGCACAAACAGACAGATTTCTCAGTCCGACTGGAATTTGTTTACACCACATCTAATAGATTCAGGAAGAAGAGATTGTGAAACCCTTATAGCAATTTTCAAATTTACTTACTTCAGGGTTGTTTTCATTACCAAGAAGTCCTCCATTTTCAAGGTCTCTGTTCATACCGAAATGAGACTGGTATCAGGTCCAGCTGGCTTGTACTCAAAGAGAGTTTGTCTTAAAGTTTGGAGTTTAAATTAGTCGGCAATCCATGGCAAATAAAACGACGATTAGAAACATATTTTCAGTCGTCCTCAAACTGATAGGCTGAATAAAAAGTCACTCTAAAAAACATTGCTCTACGTTTTTGCATTTTGCTAAGGCAATACTGTTATTCCGTGAAACCGGAAGCTCTTTCACTTTTGCATGCATTGTTCGAGAGTATTTACTAATTTCTCAAGTAGATCAGACCACGTGGTAGACCACAGTCGCGAGCAGACTGGAAATGACTCTACAACCCGCTCAAATTTATAGTAAAAATTATCAAGATCGTGCAATCGAGACAGCATTGGGGAATTTTTCCGTAAACGTGTGTTTCTGAAGAACTTTGGCTAACTGCTCAAAATCGAGATTAAATTGATCTTAAATCGTGGCCGAGCAAATGTATTATTTAAGCGTTAGGTGAAGTATTTAGGTAATTTGTTTTGTTACGATTTAGTAATGTGTTTATTTTTAGCATTTAGTTAAGATTTAAATATTAAGTCCGTAGCTACTTGGGTTTTGTCTATCGCGATGATTTTCTTGATTGTGACTGTCTGCCTGATTGTCAGATTCCTTGAACTCGAATATCGTTTCCTAAAGAAATCGGGCTGTGTGCCTCTTTAAGAGCCCGTTTTGATTTTTCTCTTATCTTTCAGGGACGAAAATTAAAACTGAATTTTGATAATCACTCAGGCAGGAAACCGCGGGTTAATCAAATAAACTTCCAACTGAATAATCACGTAGAGGAAGAGAAATGATCATACAACACATACTTTTTATCTCAATCAAACGTTGCCATTATTTATTTTCATTTCTTGGAGTGAGTTGTAGTTCTCGTCTCACTTGAACAAGTTATAAATACATCAAGCAGTTGAAGCATATTCTTTGCTCATTTGATGTTAGGTGAAGACAGAGTGAGGTCATCAGCATATTGCAGCAACTTAGCGAATGTCCTTTCTGCTTAGAACAGCGACTGTTAAAAAATTTCAGCTGCAATAACAAATAAATATGGTACTAACGGGTCTGCTTGCTTGACCCCTCTCTGTTTTTCAAAATAAGATTTGAGATATCATTTTTCAATTCACACATGCTGACTTCTCTATTAAAAGTTTATGTCCATCTGATAAGGCTTGGCCAGAACCGAAAGCATCTAAGCATGTTACAATTGAAATAGAATACCTGTCAGTGCTATCAAACGATGAGTAAGCATGTGAATGATTTAGTTCGTTGTTTTGTATAATCTCATAACATCTTTAACTAATCTTGCCGCTTCACCAATAAATCCAGCTGCCCTAAACATGACCTGTGTGGTTAGTATGTACTATCTTCAGAAGAACTTTGATTACTCTTGCCACCATTACTTTGGAAACAAGTTTGGTTTCTACATTAGTGAAAGGTATCACTCTCCAGTTTTTAGATAACTTCTAACTTATCCTTTCTTTTTACTAGGGCTTAGGATAGGTTGCTTTTGAAGGGAGGACATTTTCTTATCGTCGAACGACTCAATGAAAAATATGATCACAAGTTCACCAATTAGGTAACTGGAATTCCATTTGTTCTGGGTGTTTTGCCCAATTTTCGGGTAAGCTTTCACGTGTAGTGTTAAGTGACTTCCGATCTAAACAAACCGCGAACTGTGTCCAAACTTCAGCGTCGGTATTTTGTCGTAAATAATTTCTCGTTGTCGAGAAGCCTTTGACTTCTTTGTTTTATCAAATGTTTAGTTACTTGTCAAGTAAGTTGTTATTTCGCAACTGCTAAAGTTGATGCGAAGAATGTAGCAGGAATTGAACGGGGAGAAATCTATTTACTAGGATTTCAATATGCAAATACACTTTCATAAAGCTCATTGCTTGTATTTAGATAGGTATACATTTCAACAGTGATTGTGTTTTTAGGCTCTCTGCCGAGGTTTGTCATTAAATTTAGGGCCAAATTTGTCCCGTATCACATGTTTTATGCCTTGAATATTATAACTTTGAAACTGAATCGCAACAAAACTATTGGGGCCGGGAAGCTCAAGGATGTAACTCTTTATCGAGGAATTTCTATAGAATTTTCGACGTCACTTATCTCGGCATTATGTAGACGCTTCCACTCAAAGTCAAAAGGAATGGGATTGAGCACATTTTAATGATTTACGACAGCTTTGAACCCCATTATGGTTGAATGATGTCGTCTGAGTACTTATTCAGAGGGTGTACTCGAACTACTCAAGGTTTCCAGCCTGAACAACCTACAGTTTTTCTTACTTCTTTTAGTCGAGTTAAAAAACATCATGGCTGTTGAGAAGATGAACGTCTTTGTTTATGTAGAACGCTAACAAATGACGCTGTCAAGTTTTAATGTTCAATAATAAGGACGTGCCACGCGCACTTCCCTCATTCGTGCTTTGCAAACTATCTTAGTTAAAAAGTGTAGGCTTAGTACTCATTCAGAGGGTATGCTTGAACTATAAGGTTTTCGGCCTAAATGTTCCATACCTAGTTTCCTACCTCTTCTTCATTTAGTAGGGTCGCACCACACATGGTCCGAACACAAAATTTCAAAGTTTAAGGGAAATGTTCATGCTGTATCTAAGGGAAATTCTATGCATGATAACGTGGAAAGTTTGGCCAGATTATATGATTAACGCCTTGTGTAGGCGGCGTATCTAGAATCATGACTAGATAATAGTACGTTGTTGTAAATACGAAAGTGCCGTGGAATTCTATTTTAGGATTAACAAAAGAAGCATGTAAGGAGTTGGTGTTTTGGGGCCAAAATGTTGACTCTCTTAATTCACGTTAGCTGTGACTACCCTTCTCTCAGCCGGCCAAATTAGATTAATCTAATACGTCAGATCATGTATGTGCATCCTTTATTCTGAATGAGAACAAATTTTTTCATGAAAATTGGCCTCCTACTGATGGGGTAAAACAGTACCATAGTGAGAGAGCTAAAAGCTGTAGAGTTGGCTTTGATCAGTTTTGCTCCCAGCCTTTTAGGCAAACAGGTTGCATGGTTTACTGATATCGCGAATTTTGTTATCATTGTTTATTCTTGAGTAAGGTTATAGAGCTTTAGGATTTAGCATTGACATTCTTCGTGTTCGTGCTTCAGGAAATGAAGGAAATTTGCCGTAAGCGAGCAGGAGCTGTCCTATTTTCCTGTCAATCCTAGAATCTAGCAGATCAAGTTCCTCGGTGAAAACCGACCCTCATAGTAATAAGTGGGCTTACGAGTCAGCGGATCTAATTTTCCTCCATGGGTAAATGATGCCACTCAGAGAATTTTTGGGGCTGAGAGGGATATAGGGAAGAACCATTGTCTACTGAAATTCTCAATTCTTATACATATTTCAAACCTGAAATTAAAAAAATTCCTTGCCAAAATCCTGGAATAGAAATTTGTTAAGGGCATTTGAAGGTGTTTGCTCTCCTACATCTACAAGTTATAATACAAAACTGTTTTATTAGGGAGCAAAATAAGCGCATTGAAAGGGGCCTATCCATTCATGATGGACATAGTCGTTTTCAGAGGTTTTGATAATTCTGGCAGATCCTTACAATATTACCTCTGTTCTAGATATTATCATATATAATTTAAAAAGGAATAGTTAATATTTACTTTGACAGCAGGTGCCCCGCTCAAATCCAGTTTAAGAAGAGACGATAGTAGACAAAGAAGAAGAAAAAAACACAACAAAAAGATTCAAAATCGGTCGACTCCTCGGCTAATCCATTTAAGCCATAAAGGGTACATAATAATGATAAATAATTGTTCCGAAAGACTGTCGGTAAACCAAACCTGCTTTCAATTAGGCAATTGTATATCAAACACATCGCCCTGTTGCTTTAAATAGAAATTTTTGCAGGTGTATTGAAATTGAAAAAATACATTATCTATACACACAGATGAGAAGTAGAAACAATTGTGCCCGTTAAAAATAATTGTGACGATTGAATCTCAATGGTCGTGGGTAAAGCTAACTTAACGCATGGGAAAGCCTTTTTTTTTAAATATCAACATTTTTTCCAAAGTAAAACAGAATAAAATTATCATACACTGATCTCTGACAGCTCTTCATCGTTTCCTAACATTTGAAAAGGTAAAAACTACGAGAAATTGGCATTTGAATCTTTTGACTGATAACAATATAATAATAATAATAACGATAAAAATAGAAATGATGAGCACTATAACCACCAGCTGTCCGTTGCGGCCTACAAATAATGTTTCTAAACTTCCTTATATGACTAAATAAGAGACCGCAAAAAAAAAAAACAAAGAAACGGACTACTTTCATAAACAGCCATGCATCCTTATAGATTCGACCATTATTAAAAAACCGTCTTCTTCAATAAAGATTGTCTTGCAATTGGACATGCAAATTATCGCTCAGTTACTGCTGCTCTTTCACGTTAAATATCGCATCATGCCTTCTAAGATCATAGTCACAACATAAAAAGGTTCTGTGTTCGAACGGACCTTAAGGCATAGGTACAAGTCTAATCACCTAACTACCGATTATCTCTTTGGGTCAGGACTTTAATTCTCATTTTTACAAAACATTACTGCGACAGAAACGTGCACTCATGTATGTCTCATGTATTTTCCAAAGACAAATGAACACACCGTTCCGTTTAATAGAGCTGAAATTCCACCTTTACACTATGAAAATTTATCTGAATTGATACAGGATGTTAAGAATGTTTCAGCACCAACGAATATGCGAAGATTGTTTGCGAAAATGTCTGAAGTCCAGTCTTACGATATACGCTTCTCTCCTAATAGTTGCTAAATAAAACCCTTAAACCTTGTAGTACAAAATGTTTTCTCAAGATCAGTGCGAAACTATAAAATGAGATACCATGCTCTCTTAGGGAGCCAAAGGAAAAATCATTCAAGTTTGAAATAAAAAAAAAATCCATTGCTAAGTATATTCAAGAGAGAAAATTCCTTTCTTGACCTACTCGAGATCATTCTTAAAGAAAAATTCTTTGTAATGAATAACGCCTATAACATTCCTTTCTATAGTGAAGGCTTCTACCAAGCCATGCTCCTACTTTCCTTTTTCATCATTTAGTATGATTATTTTTTTGGTTGATTTAGGTCCTTACTTGATTTTGAAGACTGGCCCGCCTAGATTAGAGTTAGCTATCTGTGGGCCAAACAAGCTATAGCTTTTATTTCAAGGATGAAAAATAGAGATTGTTGTTGCTAGTCACAACTATGTTAAAGAGATAATATTTAACTTTCAAAAAAATGAATCTTGATCATGTACTTCGCTTCTTCGTCGAAATCGCTGCCGAGTTTCCTTCGGCGAGTGCTTTTACCGTAACCCACGCGAAGCTACAGTATGCGGTATTCAAATGCCATGCGTTTCCTGAAAGTTCCAAAAAATCCGCCCTCTTCAATAGTGAAGACCTTCATGTCGTAGTTAAGTCCGGGTATTTTGTGGTGGTAATTCATACATTTCCACTGATCTATGTCTTTCAGGTTTGATTTCTCCAACCAATTCTGGCGCAGCACCATAAGCTGGCTGGTTTTTCTCGGATTCTTTTAATCGTAGCATTTCAAAGATAGCACTTCTAAAGCGGCGATCTCTATAGTAGTAAATCAATGGATTTGCTAAAGAGTTAAGCTGCATGATTGTCTCTGTCAAACGGAAAACGGAACTTTTCTGAAAAATTGCGCTAAATTTTCCTAAAATCTCTAATGCAACGGGAAGAAGAAACAATAAAATGATGATTCCCGTTATGAAACCAGTTGTCTTAGCAATTCTAATTTTCTGCTTTCCCATGGGTAGAGCGCAACTAGGGTCGAGCTGGTAAATTTGTAGTTTTCGTATTCGAAGGTAGACCATAAGGTAAAAATAAACTGTTACTATTACGGCAGATCCCCAAAAAACACCCTGAAAGGGTAAATAGAATTTTTCAAACCAGCCAACATCTATTTTGGCTCCCGCTAAAATGTAGGGTGGTGCTACGCACATCGCCGGTAACCAAGCGAGTAACGCAAGTTTCTTCGCAAGACGTTTTGTCGCGATCAATTTATATTTTCTCCATTTCTTGATTGCCATATACCTTTCCCATGCAATCACGGTCAAGTGAGAGAGCACAGAGGTGGATGCAAAGTACATGACAGCAAGTCCCATGAGGTCTAATATACAGACTTTGTGAAGAAAAGTTTGGTGAACAATCAATAAATCAACGACAGAAGTTAACGGCATGGATACAGCACCAATTAGTATGTCTGCAAAGGCCATACTGCACAACAGAATAGTCGACGCTCTTTGCAAATCTCTCCTCCTGCTCACGGCCGCGATTTCTAACACGTTGAGAAGAACGATTACGGGAGAGGCAAGTGTTGTAATACCAAATATAAGCCAGGCAAAAGTAGTGTCCTCCAATTCCCAATAATAGCCTGGATAATACCAGCAATAAAACACTGACGTGGTCATGTTGGCCTGATTGATAGTTTTTGACTCGTTTGCGAGCATATTGTGAGGGAAAACGGGTTACAAGATTAATTTCTGTCGTCCGTAGCGTTGTTCCCAGGCAGTGTGCGAGCTATTCTGAACAAATATAGAGCATCCAGACCATCTTCTGTTGGTTGTAGAGGAAATGCCTTTTATCCCTTCATAGCAGGATAGCAGCTGCTTCTTCATGGAAATGCAGTTTCATTGTTTTAGCGGATTTTCGGTATTTTCCTTCAATTCGTATTTTGGCTTTGGCCGCGTTTAGTTTGATGTGATGAATATAGTCGCATTCATGTCGGCATAAATAATGGAAAGATAAGAATACCTGTGTATTAACGGGTTAACGTGTAGAGTGTCTTTTGTCTTTTTCTTTCGTTTTGTCTTGGTTCTTTTTTACACTGGTTGTAACATGAATGGTAGCTCACCCAATGTGAGATGAATTTCAAAACTCCATGGAAGGGGAATATTAGATGATCACACTTGAATTGTTATGGACTTTGGTGACCAGTAGTGCCTCTTTTACCATTCTCCTTAATTTGTGCACGCAGGGTTTCCAACAAATCACTCATAAAAAGGCCATGGAATGAAATGAGAGGTGGAGAGGACTAAAACAAAAAGTGTTCAGTTTTCACGCGCGCTGATTGGCGTGAAGGAGGTGATTAGCAAGTATTAATCACCTCTGAGCAGCTGGAGAGACGAAATAGCACGTCAAGAATCTAGTATCTTGCCACCTTTGGTGTTTTATAGAAATAAACTAAACATGTTCCTCACACAGAACGCAGTATGTTAGGCTTCAAGTATATTCGGCATTCCAACTAATACTGTGCTGCGTTCTCGGGATATGCCTGTTATTTTCGTTTCAGAATTTGAAATAACCAACTAGTGAAAATTGCTTTTCGCGGCCGCTGATTGGCTAGTTCGGAAGTGAATAGCAAGAACTGGTCACCTTCAAGCAGCCAGAGACAACATTCTGCGTCAAGAGTTGAATTTCCTACCATTTTTCGGTGTAATGACAGAAAGAAATGAAGTTTTGGTATTGTGTGGTATATACTAAAACAATTATTCACCTCAATGTCGCTGAAAGTGGTGTAAAGACTATTCACCTCCGCTTCGGCGAACAATTGATAATCATTTTGCAATCTACCTAAGAGAGAATTGTTCTCTCGTGCTTACTTGCCTTCATGATTGACTTGACCATTCCGTGACATACAAGCTGACACACAAAATGCATGTATGCCTTTGTACAAGAACGGACTTTTTAAACCCATCATAGTTTTTGTATCAGTCCATTATTTGAGGTAAAAAAAGATTACACAATGGACCATGGAGAGTGGCCACGATCGCTTTTTGTTTTGCTGCTTTTTCTGCACCTCTGGTTGGAGACATTTTAAACGCTCTGTTTCTGGCTTGCGTCATTAGCCGAGTCATAAATTTATAGTTTTGCTTTTTCCCCTTCTAAAGGCAGCAGAACTTTGAAATCTGTGGGTTAAGACTGTTGCATTCAGTATAAATATAGATACATTTTCTTTATTATTGTTTTTCGTGTTTGCTTTTTTCTGCCTCTACGTTTTGCATGATTTTGTAATCAATTTCTTTGTACATAGATTATTTAATGCACTGTAACGCTAATATATATAATACAATAAGAATTTAATTTAACTGAAATGTGCCGTTACGATTTGCTGAAATTTCTTCTTAATTACACATATCTTAGCGAATTGGAAAACACGATGTTACTCCAGCAGTAGTATCACCATTTTTGATGATGCCCTTGGATTGCACATTTACGGCTACTTTTGAAGTTATTTTGGTTCAAACTGAATTTTCTGAGAGTCTTAGCAGTTGACATTATTGAGTAATGTATGGTTATTTCTTACTTGTGAAAGCTCGTGTCTCGAGCTTAAACTCTTGTTCCACTATTTTCATTCATGCAAATTTCAATTCATGTTCCCTTTGGTAATTCGAGGAAGAGCAAAACCAAATCAGACTATTTGAACATAATTGGAAGCGGTTACAGTGTTGTGTATATTTGTTTTAATTTACGTGGAATGTAACTAGAGCTAAATACTTTCATTTTAGGGTTGTACGATCTTCAGAGGATTTGCTTGGTCCAAATGACTCTCAACTTCTAACACAGTTCTTTCAGGAGACACAGTTGCAGTCGGTTTACAGATGAAACTTAGTGATAAAGAGTATTTCCTGTATTCTTTGTTACTGAGGAAATAAATCCACGGATTTACAGTGGAATTGAACATAGACAGCACTAATGAAATTTTTACCCCAACATCCGTGACTTGGATAATGCCAAAGTTTATCAAAACGAAACAGATTTGACTAGGAAACCAGCAGCCTGTTAAGACAGCGGCTGTGATAACACACATGCGCAGCAGCAGTTTTTGCTGGTGGCGCGGATGCTGTGTTATACCAGATACCGACGGGGTATTCTTGATTCGATACATTATATGGATGAACGAAGCCCAAGTTATAAGTGCGGGAAGGACAAACGTTATTGTTACGTTGGTTAAAACGAGTGCTCGTTGTCTCTTCTTCCCCAACTTAACAGTTTCACACGTATTGTTCTCAAACTTAACGCGAAAGATATTCAAAGCGTGCATTAAAACACTTGAAACTATGATACACAAGATATAAAGTAAAAGTCTTTTCCGAGAAAAAAGGACCTTGTATTTGAACGGTTTTATAACCGAACACCATCGTTCTAGGGATAAAAGCAAGACGATTAAAATTGAAACTTTGCCGAAGTAAAACACCAGGAAACTATTTCCGAAAAAGTAGCAGAAGAAATAGCCCGCCGGCCCGGCGAGATGTGGAATGCGGATAATACGAAACAGTGGTGTCGCAAAAATAGTGGCCCCTGCAAGTTAAAGAAAAGCGAACAATAATTATAAAGGACTTTCCCTAGATTTATTATTATACCTCGATACGTGATCAGAAGATGCATTTAATCCACGCTCTAACAAGACAGTCTATTGATTTGTGATAACAAGAAAAGAATAACGTATCAGCCATTAGGGATGCTTAGAGTTTCCCACACGAATGCAGCAGTCATTTATTTTCGCTGAGGGGCTTTGAGGATATAAGTGAGTCTGCATGTAGTTCTCGGTAGCTAATTCCAAAGAGGATGAAATGTTAGGCCTAATTTCTAGCTTTTACTTTATTAATTGTACGTTAATTAATTCATACGGCTCCATTAACACTTTCGCTCCCAAGATCTCATAATATTCTTTTGTCTACGATACAATTCTTTTGATGTTAGTTTGAATAATTTGGTATGGGATGAACTAAGATCCCCGAATTGATATTTTCTTCATGATCCACACTTGTCTGCTTGCTATTATAATGATATTGTGAGCCAAAAAATTAAGAGCCAAAAAATTCTCTCGTTCACAGAAAATTTGAATGATTTTAGTTAGAGCGCAAAGAGCTGAAATAAAACAACCAGAATTTCAATTTTTGCCATTTTCCGTAGATGTTATTCTTAACATATCTCAAATAAAGTTCATGTAAATGTATTCTGATCACTGAAACAAGTGACGTCGCCTTTTGAAAAGATAACTTCTCAGTTAAATTAGTTCAGCTGATTTGTACCCCTTGTTTTCCCACAGTCTTGTTTTTTTTTACCTTTTGCCACGTTTTTCGGAAGTAAGAATTTCATTCCTGGTTCAAAAGACTGTCACCTTTAAGCACAGAGCAACTTCGAACAAATCATTCTATTTGTACCTGTTAACATGTCAGTTGTTGCTAAAGTCAGCAGTAGAATGTTGTGAGGTTTTTTCAACAGGAAAGGTTTGTTATACAACAAGAAACAAAATGTAGCGTTGCCTGCGATGGACGCCGCACCAATGACACCATAAGTTGCTGCAATGGTTTGAGTCGCACCCATGGCTGCCATACGTGTACTTGATGACTCCCGGATGCGCCACAAAAATCTACGGGTGAGACATAAGGAGTGAAAAAGAGTTTGAGCATCTCATAGCCAACGTAAAAAGTTCAGCAAGAATTATAATCTCCCATGAAGTAACAGCGGGTATTTGCATACCTCGACTTGGCCTACTCTGAATAACGCCGTAGACAATATTTCTCTCTGTAAACTGTCCTGTCGAAACGGCTTCGTCCAGTTTTCAAAAATCCACTTCCAACAGCTTGCCCGATGGAAACGCCAACTGTCAAGTTCAGCAATTGCCAATTATATATACACAATCTTAATCAACGCGGAAATTGCTTCGGATATTAGTTGAACCTTTTCGCTGCATTCAAGATGAATAGCTCCTTTGCGATAAACTGAGAAAATTGTCAAATGCATCAATAAAAAAAAAAACACTCTGAAAACTTTCAAGATAATTTAGTTTGATCAATTAAGTTGATAATGTAGATTGGCCACCATATAGCGTTTCTTAAGCTGAAGTTTTGGGCGTTAGCCCTTCGTTAGAGCGACCATCTTTTGGGTCTAAAATATCGTGTCAACTAATTAACTCACAAATGGAACAACAAAATCAGATTATTACCAGAAAAGAGACATAAAATTAAGTATAAGTTTCAGTTAGTTTGCAAAACATCTGGACGAAAAAGAAGCAAAATAGTACTTTAATAAGTGACAGGACTGTGTTAATATCCTGTATGTAATTAGTTGTTTGGTCTGTAAAGTAATCAGTATCCTCGCATTTGCACGAAATTTCCGCAATTTTTATTAACAAGTGTACATACACATTGTACGCTGAGATAGATGGTGATATTTTAATTTCCTTCAATAAACAAAAGATAAATTTCTTCTGGCATATGTCTTTAAGAAACCCTCCAAAGACTATGCAGGATTGAACAACATTGGTTAGGATTCGAAGAAATCTTTTCAAAATCTAAAACTAGTTTCACGACTCTGCACCAAACTTTTGCTACGACCTGAGCGATAGAAAGCCTACAGGCGTAATTTGCGGTGTAATTTACAGGCGTAATTTGGGTGAAAATGT